TCAGTACTTTAACTTTTACTGGAGTATTTTTAAACCAGGTATCTGTACTTCTACTTAAGTAAAGAAAGTCTGTACTTTTGCCACCTCTGGTCTGTTCAGTGCTGCTCCTTCTGTGAATTTCTGGCTGCTTTTTTGCTGCATATCATGAAATAATCAGAGAGAATAACATACATTCATGTCAGTATAAGGAATAATAATCAATATAAGGGCTCACAAATGTCAGCAAATTCCTAGAGGGGGGTTGCTGAATGGACACAAGGGAATGCAGAAAAAGTGGAAAAGCTTGTTGTGATCAATTCTGGCAATTTAATTATCATTGTAGGGTCACACAATAAAAAGTGTGTTGAGGTTACTGTTGTTGTGAGTGGCCACTATAGAAATAAAACTGAACTGAACATCAGTGTCATGACTGCATGCAACCACACAATTGAAGTACTTGGGTAATATAAAGCTTCTGTGATCATAATTTAACCAGCTCAAAACTTTGAGCTTATCTGTAATGCGTGAAAGCAGTGAGCTATATAAATAAAATTGAATTAAATTGAATTGAATTGAATTGAATTGAGCTATAGTCCGAGTGGTGGCATAGAATCTGTTTTGCATTGTTTGTCATTTTATATGGGGATATGCTACATTAATTATATTTCTGTTCTTTCAAGTTACCTGGCTGTCCTTCCTGGTTTGGGTGAAAGAGGAGGCTGAGGGTGGAGCTGGATTAAATACGGAAGCCAATAAAATGGACTGAACCATCTACTGTGATCATGTGGGGGGGTCAGCTGTTATCTCTGTAATGTTCACCTTTGGTGTACAGTGGTCCCTCGCTATAAAGCGGTTCACTTTTTGTGGCCTCGCTGTTTCACAGATTTTTTGTGCCATTTTACATGCTGTATTTTTTTAAACAGCGCATTGTGTTCTGCGTCCTGATTGGCTGTAGACCATTTTTAATCAATCTCGTCCAATTTCTCCTGTACAGTACAGAACGCATTCAGCTTGTCAAATTTACATAAATCTTCGATCGCTAGCAGTGTGACTCCGAAGTGCAGTACTGTATGTTTGTAAGTTTTCTCTCCAACAAACAAAACAATGTCAATGAAACGTTTTTCACCATATTAGGCAGCTGCTGTTGGTTTCATTCTATAACACTGGACTTATTTTTCTACGAAGGTTTGAACTTTGAGAGTTTAAACAAGAGAGAAAAGTGTGAAAATGTTCATGTCTGTCTGAGAAAAGTGTATAAAGTGTGCAGTGAGGGGTTTTACAGCTTTAAAACATCTATAATAATTGTAAAAAATCAAGTTGGCTACTTTCACCTATCGCTGTGTTTTTTTTTTGGAACGTAACTCCTGCGATAAACGAGGGACCACTGTATACAAAGGTTTATTCATTTGCTATATAACTGGAGCTGTTTCTCATTTGGGCAGGTCAGTTTGTTGAGTAGAGTTTTGTTAACCTCTTTTATGGACCCACTTGGTTCTTAAAATAGTTTGTTTTTGTCATTTTGAATTTTTGTAATCATTTTGGCTTTTTTGGGGTATAGTAAAACCCTTTTTTTAAAGATTACATCAGTGCCTGTATGTTCTTGGCTCCTTGGTCCCTGGTAATGACCCACTTGTAGGTTACGTCATGGGCTCTGCAAAGAATCACTGCAGAAACATCAGGCCTTGGACCTCACATGGTAAATGGGTATACAGCCTGTCTGTGTATTCAAGTTTGCTTACCATTGGAACAATTGATTTCTTCATATCCACCAGGTCAGTAATGAACCCCTAAAAGGTGAGGCTTGGTTGCATTTTAGTCACATGCTAAACAAAAGTAGTTTCAGAAAGTCAAAGTTTGTCACGGAAAAGACGGACCCAGGCGCGGTTCTTCTTCATAGAAACACAGTGCGTTTATTTACAGTGAAACAGACAGGCAAGTCCAACAATTCACTCAAAAGTGCAATTTTCCAATCGTGCTCGTCCCTTGCTCCCAGTGCATTCCGTGTTGTAACTCCCTTAGTGTGTGTGCTCCCCAACTCGCTTCTCCGCTTGCCCCTCCTGGAGGAAAAAGGAAACTGTTAGCCACACGCTCGGCGAATAACAAGCTCACGTTGCTCGCACGGACTATACCAGTTCGGAGTAATAATCCCACGTCGACTGTCGCCGCGAGTCCAGGTTAAATACCTCTTTCTAGCCGGGAGGAATGATTACCAACGGCTGGTCAGGTAATCAGCTGCAGGTGGCCGGCAACAGCGAAGAGGGACTCCCATTGACGACAGTCGCCAGGACACGCCTCTCCCACGGCGCGCACTTCCGTAAACAGCCCGAGGACCGGGGAGGGAGAGAGGGAGAAGCAAACACACACACAGAAAACATACACACAAGCAGAGTTGTCCGGAAGGACCGTCCGACCGTGACAAAGTTAGCTTTAAAAATCAACTCACCTCCAGGTATTCTGTTCCAGCCTGGTTATCAGATACAGATGAAAACTCCATAAGGAGTAGCCTAACCCTGACAAACCTATTAGGAGATTAAATGATCTTTGTTGGATTCAGCTGTAAATAAGGTCATCAGTGACTGAGAATTTTCAGGTTCATGCACACTCTTCTGAATGCTTGACAGGCTTCTTGCTCCTAGTTACAGTTGCTAACATTGTTAAGCACCTACAGAAAAACGACTGCACAAAGGTTTAGTTGTAAGTGGAATCAACCTGACAACGTTTTTTGGTGTAAGTATTCATGGATTTACCATAGATAAGTCTTGGAAGTAACAATATGCATGCACCAACACACAACTTGAAAACATCTATGAACACATAAAAACAAAGATGATGCTAATTTCTGCCATCTGCATATTCTCTCATTTATTTAACCTCATTTTGTATTGACAATAAATTGCTATTTCCAGACAAAGCCTGGAGGAGAGACGCTAACAAACATCGCAAGGTGTCAAACTGGCAGGGAACGTGCTGCAAACAGTGGGGGTGGTGTTTAAGTGTTCATCAGTGTGTGGAGAATCCAGGCAGAAAGAACACAAAGAAAGAAAACAACAGAAAGCTGTAAAAAGTGACGGATTATAACCAGAGGAGAAAAACGTCTTGAGGACAAAACAGCAAATCGGGACTTATAAAGTAGCAGATTTGAAGCACAGTTAATCTTTTTGGGGAGTATTCATTTTTTAAAAGAGAAAATGAGTAATGAATTGTTTTAAGAGTGTTCATCTCTCATCATCATCATTTTTCTTTCCTTTGTTAAAGATATGTCTGTTTAATTTATAATTCAGTATGGGCCAAATATAAAGTGCACATTTTAGCAATAGAACATGAAAATAACCAAAATGTGTGCGATACATGACAAAACAACACAACATAAGGCAAATCAAATTAAATGTCATGCATCCTAAAAGGAAAGAACAGGACCGCCTATTCCCAGCGGTGGTGTTACCTGACCCACCCCTTCACTCATCAGTTCTATTCGTTCAAATCAGTGCAGCACATGTGTCCCAGCTGTGGCCCGTACTTTAGCTTTCCAGCTTTCAGTTCTCATTTTTCTTGGCTATATTTTGGTTTCAGTGCTGTATTCTCCCAGTAAGACACTGGCAGTTGGGGAGCATGAAGACTTTTAAAACCAGTCACTGACTGCGTGACGACTGACTCTATCCAGCCTGGTCCAGTAAAGAAGTCAGGAGTAAAACAGTTTCTCTTGTATATCTCTGACCTGTTGAAACCTCATGCTTCATCCCGAGCACTTAGGTCTTCAGGTCAGAGGCTACTGGTGGTC